GAGCCGATGACAAAATTTGATGTTTTCGCTTGGATGATTTTAAATGATATTCCTCAATGGCAACAAGTAGAAGAAACTACAAAATATTTAAATGAAAAGGATATAGGAATAGATGATTCAATGTATGAAGAATTTATGTACTTAAAATCGTTTATTGAATGTGAAATCAGCGATGAATGGAAAGCTAAAAATATGGAAGCAAAATGGAAACACTTTTTTGAAAAAACCGAAGAACTGGAAAGAAAAGCAAATCTTCTTAAAATGTGTCAATATATTTTTGCAATCCCAGGCCACAATGCTCACGTAGAACGAGTGTTTTCGTTAATTTCAGCGCAGTGGACGAAAGAACGAAGTTCACTCAGTGTAAGCACAATCGAAAGCATCATTCAATGCGTTTATAATTATAAAATGTCATGCACGGAATTTTATAATTACGTCAAAGGGGAAAAGGAATTACTGAAAAAGGTTAAAAGTACAGAGAAATATGAATGGGCAAAAAAAAAGGACGTAGTGTAAGAGTTTCTTATTTTTTGATTAAATTTTCTTAAATATTACCAGTGTTTTTGTATAATCCATGATTTACCCTATTTCTGTTCTAAATGTCCCGGTCGGCGTCTCGGAATTTATGGCAGGCCTAAAGTAGTAGTAACTCTAAATAATAAAAAATGCGGGTGGTCAACCCGCTCGCCAAATATGGCATCTATGAAAAATATCTCCCTATGAATCAATTTACGGCAATGAATATTTATTGGTCATAATAGATAATAGACATATTTATACACAAAACTTATATTTATATATTACGTATGTAAGTCATAGATTTGGGTTTTTGATTCCCAACAAACTATTTAGCACCCTTCCAGTTCAATTGAATGATATCCAAGAAATTAGCGTTTAACACCAACGGCCATTTTAGCCTGAGATATCTTTATTCTTAATATTCTAGTCACACATTCACTTACATGCGAGTAGTTTAAAAATAAATTACATTTTTTTAATAATTGCACAAGCTAAATAACAAAATGAGAAATAAATCTTCTCCTGTATTTATTTATCAGTCCGAATTTGAACTTTGACAGTCCAGTGTTGGATTCGTAGAATATGCAGGTTGTTTTAAAAAATTGTATGTTTTAGAATTGAATTTGTTTTATTTAAAAACTGTATTAAAAACCTATGTGGGTGTGCATGCAACTGATAGTGTCAGTAGGAGTTTTGGCGGGAACTTGACCGGCGACGTATTGCTGCTCCAGTATTATTGTTTAAATAATGGTTTGAAGTAGATTTTAATATGTAAAAGTGGTGCGATTTTATGTATTAACTGTCTACGCATGTGAACTATTGGTGGAAACCGTGAAAAAAGTGCTCTGATGGGGATGTGATTCTCAAGATAAGATGTCTGTTTGCTTAGGCGCCTTGAGATAGCATCGGCAACTGTCAGCCGTCTGCTGGCTCAAGTTGCCGTCAAAATCTCCCAAGGGGCTAGTGTACTATGAAGGATAATTCGTCGTTGACGCCACGAAGGGGCGGCCTTTGACCAGGGTTCGCCCCTTTGTGGAGTCAACGACGAATTATACATTGTAACTTCAGGCTCACAAGAGCTAGAACCCTGAGCTGTAAAGCCAGTTATTAAAAAAAACTGATTGTGTCAGTAGTTTCATTTTGGATTTCTTCTTTTTTTTTTTTGATTTTTTAAAGCGTGCAGTTTCTTTTTGGCCTGTATGTTTATACAGCTAAAGTACAAAAAAAAATAATTTGCTGTCGTATGTGGAAACAGTAACTATAGGCATTGCAATATACTCATAATTCATAATTCATAATTATTTATTTGCTTAGAATGTAGGTAGATCTTACAAAAGTATTATTAAAGCATAAAGCTCTGATACATTCTGCCTTATCAAGGCGTGCGTTATAAGTTGCAATACATTTTTCTTTACAATAATTATTGATGAATTTTAGTCTAATATAATTATGTCCTAATAGTACTAATAAAAAATGTCCAATTAATAATAAAATAAATGTCAAAAGAATAATTACGAAGTACAATATCACACAATCTTTTACAAAAATGTCAAAATACAAATGTTAACATGTATAAACAGTAAAATCAACCAACCAATAATTATTCTATCGAAGTCTTATTTTATTAACTTACAGCAAAAAATTCAAGCAATTTAGATACGGATATTAAATACGTAATTTGTTTTGATTTTTATGATCAAAATACTCATTAACGGTATAAAAACAGTTAAGTAAGAGCCATTCGTGAAGTTTGTTTTTTAACTTTGTCATTGAGAAATTTTTAAACTCGTCGGGTAAAGAATTAAAGATTTTAATCGTCATTATGTACGAATTTTTTTTTAAAAAACATCAATTTACATTTCGGAAGGTATATTCTGTTATTAGATTTTTCTCTTAAACTTCTGTCTCTTAAAAAAATATTAGTTGGTACTACTATCTATACTAGTTATCACTGAAAACAAAATAATAGGTTTTTTAAGAATCTTAGCCTCTCACCAATTCAAAAAAACTATTTATCTGCTATCAAGTATTGCGTGAGCCTTCGCGTCAAGTGTAGTCTGACAATATGAAGTGGTGCGTCAATAGAGCCTTTTCAATCGACTGTCCACTCCACGCCTGAACGGAAACCTTGATCTAGTTCCAGTAACAATAAATAAGATGTACTAGATATTTAAAATGTAATAACATAAATACGTTTTGTACTTATAGTCTGCTTAAAATAATTTAATTAGACATCGGCTCCACGATTTTCTCAATCAAATATGAGTACACGGACGACTGAGTTTTTATCATTTAAATGCGAAATCACCAAAACAGAACCGTTTACAAAAAATCTGTTATACAACTTGTAACAAAAACCCTGTCGTTCCATTTAAGTGCGTTATCAGAGTCGGTATTCAAACGTAAAGAAATAATTTTTTTTTGTTCAAAAAACTTGAACATTAAAAAAATGTATTTTAATTTAAACTGCTACAACTATACTACTAACAAATTTGACAGCACATCTAAATTCGACCAACCGGAGCCGGCTACCCGTTGTTATTGTCATAACAACCTGGTTACAGTCGGCTAAGCCTAGATGTATTTACACTTCGGCGACAGGCCGTAACATGATGTTGGAAGGTTTTTTTTTGCGCACAGAAGCAAATGAAAAGGGATACCGAGTTAACGCGAGGAGGTCGTGAATGCTTTATGCATACCACGAAAGCCGGCTGTCGTGGTTATGTGGGACTTACTATGACTAACTACTTAACAACCCTAAGTGTACACACTAAACACCACCCATGGGACTGGCATTGGCTTATTAGGCCTTTCTGCCGAATCGGAAGCGACCCTCTTTTGGGAAAAGAGGGCGCAGGCGGCTACGAGCCGCTGAGGGGAGCCTACTAAGTCAAATTTAGGAAGAGTCACATTTTGGAAGGTTGGAATCGATTGTATAAGAGACAGAACCCCCGTACAAATCGTATCCAAACACCGTCCCAGCGTTACGCAACACTCGGACGACCGCCTTGGCTTGACGGACTAAGTCAGACCGTTTTTACTGGTAAAGAGGCCTCCCTCTTATTCTTCATCCCAAATATATTACGCTTTGGGTCCTAATCTACTCAGATTTTACATCAAGGCTAAGAATATGGCAGGCACCAAGTTACAAAACGGTATCAAAACAAATTGCCCTTCATACCGAATTTCGTCAGGGCAGCCAGTCTCAACGGAGACTAGCCATCTGCTCACGAGAGCATGCGCAAGCACAGGTGCACTCTCATAGTCCGGCCAACACGCAAGCAATAGACGGAAAGCCAAGAAGACCGGAGAAAGATCAGGCGCAGGGCCTTTGGCTTTACGTGCTTTCTGAGGTACTGTAGTGAACCTCTAACTTACTTACTCCAGGATGCCATTTTCTTGACAGAAGAACTCAATAACTGATTCTCATCCCGACCTGAGATTCGAACCTGGAACCTAATGACAAACATCCGCACTTACGACCACAAAGATAGTAACTAAAAAATCCAGAGCCTACAAATGTAATTAACATAAATTTTTTCGATGTATTTCTCCGAAAAGTTCAATTATAATATACCTACTTACCTATTTCATATTCACAATACGTTTTAATTTAGAGGTAACAAAATAACCTCGGTTACGTTTAAAATGATTACTACGCTGATTCATCTCATTTACCTTATGATTGTATTGGTACTTAATTTGTTGAAATTCCGGTCGATAAACTTTTCTTACGTGGTAGAGCTATGCTGCAGCTATAAGTTGTAGCACGAATGGGTCGGCTCGACCGGGGAAGGACCACGCTCTCACAGAATACCAGCGTAAAATAGCAGCTTAATGCTGCTGTGTTTCGTATGGTGAGTGTAGAGAACCGGAGACCCTTTTTACTGGAAAAGAGGCATTACATCTTAGTCCTCACGAGTGACAACGCATCTGCTTTTTTATTCTTTATTGAGGATAAATGTAGATGTCTATGGGCCACAGCAACCACTTACCATCAGGTGGACAGTGCTCGTTTGTCACTCGATCCTATAAAAAAAAATATGGCGTCGAGATTTTTTTTAATAGAAGAAGGGTGACAAACGAGCTAACAGTCCACCTGATGGTAAGTATATGCTGTAGCCCACAGACATCTACATTTATAAATATACAAATGCATTGTCACCCGAGAGGACTAAGATGGAATGCCTTGTTTCCAGTAAAAAGGGTCTCCGGTTCTCTCCACTCGCCATACAAAACACAGCAGCATTAAGCTGCTATTTTACGCTGGTATTCTCTGAGGGCGTGCTGCTTCCCCAGTCGAGCAGACACGTTCGTGTTACAACCATACTAGTAATATAGCTGCAGCATGGCTCTACCACATAAAAGGTGTGTCAGGATCATATCAAATGGAAGTTCGTAGTCTCTGTCTACCCCGCTGGTGAGAAGCGTAGGAGTTTATGTAATATTGCGTAATTATATCGGTTGTTATCTATTTTCAGTTCAATTTGGCGTGCCAGGAGTGGAAGCGAACTCTGGTGGGGACGATCCATAACATTGGAATGCTGGTCTCACTGCCAATCCTCGGATACATATCCGACCGGTGTGTACAATGAGTTTCATAAACCTAACACTTATATAAAATTTTTGTTGATTAATCAGACTATTTCAGTCCAAGTTACTTTAATATAAGGCTGGATATATTTCTCTTCATGAATGCGCTGCATGGGTAAATTTTTACTTATTAATGCTTGACTCTAGTTCTACCTGGTGATTCTGCATGTTCATGAACGGCGGTGTTCACTTCCCACCTAATATGCTATATGCTCTTTTATGTTAAAAAAATTGTAATTGTCAAATTCGTACATTTGGGTTGAACGTTCAGAGCTGATATTTTAGGCCCCGGTAAAACTTATGTGCTATAGTCTGTTCGCTAAGATTGTGTCGGTAAACCTGACGCGCAATTATTATTTTTCTTTTATTTTATTATTTTAGTGTGTTTGTTAATTTATTCTTATTTTATTTTATTCTTAATAATATACGAATATAAATAATAAAAACAAGTTAGGTAAGAAATCTTTCACTACGGCGGCTGTTCGTTTTAAAATGCCAAATTCTCCTTCGGGTGTACGCCGCACGCGGCGACCCTTGATGTCGCGGCGCTGCGACGCTTTTGACAAAATGCGACACATGCCAAGGTGGTGCGATACTAAGGCGACCGTATCTAAGCAAACAGACTATACACCTAGCAAAATTGTTAGCATCCACATTGAGCAGTAAGCAAAAAATTATAAGTAATAAGTATTCTTCCTTTACTGTTTCTTAAAACTTAATAGAAAACATCAAAAGCAAATGAGTAGATAAAAAGCGAGAATATACGCTGTAACGTCATGTGAACGTCAACAACAACCTTTGGAACATCTAGTGCTAAAGTAAACATCAACCGCAGTGATGGGTACCGCAGTCAATGAGGGCTAATAATCTTTCGCTCAGCAGATGTCGCTAGTAGGGACTGAGGTGAAGTAAATTGGTACACAGTGTAATTATAAGTGAAAAGTTGCGCTTACATTTATTCCGCAAAAGCGATGTCTGCGAATCATTTATAATATGAACTCAGATGAAACTCTAAGAGATTAATGCATTCAAAGAAAAATGCTATGCCTTATAGCAGTGATGACATGTAAGTGATGAAATGGGCAAATATCTTTCTACTATTAACACCGCAGTCACTCACAGAACAATTACCCATTGTTGAAGACAATTATATTTACTAAATATAACCACGATTAAATTCAAAAAAAATATTGAGGACCTCATTGCTTGCGTGCCGGCTTGTGATGATCGATTTTGAATGACAAATCAGTCACAGAGTTATGATATTTGCTAGTATTTTCTATCTTGCCATATTGCAATAAGGTTTTTTTTTCTAACTTGCAAACTATGGCCGTCTATTACTATTTTAAGTTTATGGGTTTCTCCATAGATTACCTCATAGGAGGGATATTTGCCATAATTGCCACGCTTGGCAGGCGGGTTGACAACAGCATTTTTTTATTTTTTATTTTTTATATTAGGAAGACGCTGCTGCCCATCTACTGGTTTGTTTCCCTCTGTCGCCTCTGACGACACCCACAGGACAATATACGATAGTGGATGATACACCGCCAGGACTCGGCACATTAATGTTATGTAGATTATTTTCTAAAATTGTAGTCACAAACGATCTCATAGTCCACTTGATGATAAGTGACTAATGCAGTCCATGGACACTTGAAACAAACTTAAAGCAGAGAGGGATACAGATACGTTGTTAACTTTAAGGATCAAGACGTAACTCCTCACAGCCTATGATTATACTGGCTCTCTATATTCTTCAGCTGGAACACAGCAGTGCACGCAGTGTTGCTTAGAGGCTAAAATTAGTAAGAGGATGGGTAACCTGGACCAATTCCTAGTCAGAAAATAAGCCACACCACCTATGTGCTCTTTTCTACAGCATTAAAGTCTTCTTCTTCTTTTTCCTACCCTTATCCGAAGATATTTGTGGTCTGCATAGCATGTCTTCCTCTTCCATTCTCCTCTATTAGCTGTTATCTCTTCACTCACTCCTTTCCTACGCATACTCGTATCATTCCGAAAACAGTTCATACATCTTTTTTTATACCATTCACTTTCATAGCCAACATTCTTTGTTACATGGTTTCCTTCCCTTCTCTTGACTGCCTCGTTGATCTAGTGGTCGTAAAGGCTGCGCCTGATCTCTCTCCAGTCGTGTCGATTTGCTATCCTATTGGACTATGAGAGTGAGGGAAATAGAGAGTGCTCTTATGCTTACGCATACACTTGGCACTATAATCCTGTTCTGCGCAGATGGCTAGTCTCTGTTGAGACTGGCCACCGTGTCCGAAACTTGATCGGGAGGACATTTTAATTCCTACGCATAATATTCCCATACCACACTAACCTAACCAATTCTCATCTTATCCGTGACTGGGGCTACATTAAAACTGCCTTTCAGTAGAAGGGTGTGGTGATGATTTTGATGCTGATGTTGGTTATAACATTTTAAAGTTGGGGTCGCAAGCGGGCGCTGGTGCTGAGCTGCACTCTGGTTGGCGCCATCGGTACCCTGAAAGCATTCTCTGTGTCTTACGAAATGTACGTCATTGTGGAGTTCCTGGAGACCGTAGCTGGAGCCAGTGCCTTTCCAGCCGCTTACATCCTGAGTAAGTCGTATCACATCAATTATTTGAACAGTTTTCACGTAGTAAACTATATTATGGTTTTAGCATGAATGATTCGGCTCGACTGGCGAAGGTGGTTCTCACAAAATAACAGCGTAAAATAGAAGCTCAATGCTGCTGTGTTTCGAATGGTGAGTGAAGAGAACCGGATATCCCTTTTTACTGTAAACGAGGCATACCATCTTCAGAGTTGACAACGCTCGTTTGTCACCGGTATGCGTATTCGTCACAGATGCGTCGGTGCAGTGATAGGCTGTTCCTTATAATTGATTAAATAATATTGCTAACGCAATATTTTAGCTTAAAGTTTATTTATTTGGTAGTTAACATGACATTACATATCAGTGAGTGTTTTACAGTAAATTTGTGCAGTTACTTACTATACCAGTGAACATAAAAACAAGTTGAACGAATACAATTGGTTTGGTTTGTTATTTGCTAGTTACGGTCGCTCGTACAATTTACTTACCAACATACTTTTGCTGCATACACCTCCATACTGATTACTTTAATGAACTGATTATAATACATTCAATGCCTTCAGTGGGTGAGTGGAGTATATAAGATATATCAACTGTAGTTATATATGGTTAAATGTGAAGCTTGTGGTAAATTTCTTTCTACGGCAGAGGCCGTTAAATGTGGACAATGTTCAGTATTATATCATCGAGCTTGTGTTGGAGTCTCCGAACGCTCAAAGATCAATGAACGCTGGCAATGTCCAGAGTGTAAAAAGACTATCTGAATATAAAGGAGAAGAAGATCTGAAACGTATTTTATTATTTATCGAAGCAATATTCTCTTGTGCTAAATCTACAAAAGTCAAAATTTTAAATAATAGGAACAAATAAAAATATTCAAAATACATCACTGTTTCAGTCAGTAGTTCTAATTGATAATGAACCTATACAGCAAGTCTTAGAAGCACGAAATTTAGGTATAATATTTGATTGTAGTTTGCGCTTTGAAAGTCGTGTACTTGAAGGAGTGCGTAATTGCTCTTACCGTTTAAAGTTACTGTACCTAGTTCGGCAGTACCTCAGTGTAGATATGCGGATACGATTGTGTGAATCATTAATACTGTCCAAATTAAACAGTGCAGATGCAGCCTATGGACAACAACTGTTGAGAAGAACAGAGAAGCTTATAAAGCGGGTTGAAAATGCGTATACTCGGTTTTGTTTTACTGTTCCGTCTCGAAGTCATGTAACGTCTTATTTAAACGACGCCAATCTTCTTAAGATGAGCGCCCGGAAAAAATTACACCTTTCGACTATATTATTCTCGACAATTATAAAGCAGAGACCGGTATATCTATTCCAAAAGTTGAAATGGGCCCAGGACCAAAATAAATATAACACAAGAGCTTCCGTTCAATTGCTTGTAACAACTCGACACATTACTGATGCAATTCGAGGCAGATTCAAATTAGCAGCAACACACTGTTGGAACGATTTACCACCACCTATTCGTTTCCTGAAAACATTAAATAGTTTTAAAAACAAATTAAAGTTGCATTATTTGGTACAACAAGAACAAAATACGTAACAACTCTCTCGAACGTACTATGATAACAATATTTATATTTGTTCTACACTTTTATATGTTCGAATATTATTGATTATTAATGTGTTTCTGTTATTTGATGAACGATAATTTATTATTTATTAGTTTCAATCTTATTTTTTTCTTTTTTTTTGTCTTTTTGCTCTAAAAATCCAGCAGGTCTCATAACATGGCGTGTCTCTTTGATTACAGAATATTAAATTATCTACTTTTATGAAAAAAGTAAAAGACGTCTTCCCCATAGAATAGTCAAATATCATGTTTATATTGTGTGTATAAGTATATAAGTGGGTATTATTTAAATATATAGTAATATAACACTTATAAATCTGTTAGCTAGGTTTAGTCTCAGTGTATGTGTATATTATCTATTTATATACGTTAGCACTACTTTCTAACTCGTAATTGTTAATAGATAACTATAATCTCGTATATAACTCGTAGTTGGAAGTTCACACACCGACTAGTCTGTGAAGTAACAAGGCTCCAACTGAAATACATTGTGCTGAATTGGAGACCTATTTGATGTCACATTTTAATTTTGATATTTTCTTTTTTAATTTTTGTTTGTTTATTCCATTATTTAATTATTTATTCTCAATTGTTAATGTGTAAGTAGTATTAGTCTGGTGCATGCATTTTTCCCCTTGATTTTGTATATAATAATATATTTTTAATGTGTGTAAAATGTCTATATCAAATAAATAATTCTTTCTTTATTTCTTATGCTATGAAAAAAGTGTCGTAGGGCAGTGGCGTCAGAGAATCCATCACCTCTTTACGTCCCATGCGTGCCATAAGTCGCGACTTTGGGATACATGTCAAAAAGTTTTCATACTTGTGATGGTGGTTTAACCGTTTCGTTAACGTCAGGTGTACATCATCCAGACCAGTGACAGAAAGCAGCATGATAGGTGCAAAATGTACCCGATGCTGCGATCATCAATGTCTCTGTCAAACTTGACGATTACTGCAAATCCTCGGAAAGAGGACCCTGGGAACAGGTCCATGTCTAACAGACAACTTTTAAGACATGAATTTGAAGTTATACATTGGTAGTGTATGAAAATCTGTACTTTGATATTGTAATTTCAAATTGAGAGTTCAGTAACTAAATAATCCGATATTGTGATTTCATTTTCTAATTACAATTTTTCGATTTTCGATTTTATCCTACATTATAATATCCCCATCTTTAGTAGTATTTTTTATAGGATAAGGGTGACAAACGAGTACACAGTTCACCTGATGGTAAGTGGTTGCTGTGGCACATACACATCTACATCTATCGTCGATTAAGAATTAAAATGCAGATAAGTTGTTACCACTAAGGTCTAAGATGGAATGCCTCGTTTCTAGTGAAAAGTTCTAGTGAAACACAGCAGCATTACGCTGCTATTTTACGTTGGTAGTTTGTGAGAGCGTGCTTGAGTCGACCCATTCGTGCTACAAATGTAATATAGCTGCAGCAGCAGTATGACTCTACCACGCATTATATATACTTAATATTATAAAGAGTTAAAATTATTTGCCAGTATATATGTTTGTTTACAGTAGGGGTAATCCTTGAAACTGCTAATACGTTTCTAAAAGAAATTTTGCTTTTGAAAGCTACGCTATCCCCGACTAATATAGGCCTTAGATCATGAAATTATAATGTTTAGATACCGCGACGCGCTATAATTACGTTTCAAAATATAGGCCAGAAATAACGGGCTTATGTGCGTTACAGCTTCGTCTTAAGCTGAGATCAAACTATCGGACGCGGCTGATTTGAATCTAGCCAGTAGATTTAATACTACACTGTGCAAACTATCGGTCATAAGACGCGGACGTGCCCTCGAATCGCTCTTGAGCGTTCAGAGTTCAGACGTCCGAACAGAATCTAGCTCGACGCCGTCTCGACTAACGTGCACACCGGACACGTCCGATAGCTTGTTCTCAGCTTTAAACACTCACCCTGGCTGTCTTTGTGTGCGTGCCATAGGGATACCGGCTTAAGGCGTTTTACCATAATTTGAGGAAAATGTGGAGAGGTTTAGCATCCGGTTGTTTGACATTGTTGCCACGCTTGATAGACGGGTTGACTTGACAGTTTTATTATTATTTTGAGCTGTTGTCAGAAAATGTTACTGTGCAATTCCTGTTTCAATTTCTTAAGGCTCCTAAACAATAATATGGGATAGTGCCGTGTGACTGCGGCGTAAAAGCCCATTAATCCATATTATTCCGTGAATAACGACACCAATTTTACTCGTAATGCGTTATTTAATATAGGTCCATAAGATATTGAAGTTTTTGACTCAGAGCAATGTAACTATTCTATATTTTTGTATCAGATTTAAAAACCCCATATGAGATGCAAGAAGAGCAATCTGATGGATCGATTACGGAAAATCACATCACCTCCAGTCATGTCTACTTGTGGACTGTTATTGGGTTGATGAAGATGCTAATATTTTTTCTTTTTATTCCTTTTTAACATTTATTTTTTAATTTTCAGCTATCGAGCTTTTAGGACAAGACAAACGAGTACTCACCACAGCATTTTTGGGCATTTTATTAGTACTTGGTGGGTTGAGTTTTGCTTTGTTGGCCAAAACCTTCCATTACTGGCGTACCTTCATACTGGTCGTCTACCCACCATCTTTACTCTTCCTTTCCTACATTTATCTGCTACCTGAGAGTATCCGTTGGCTGCTAACACAGAATAGGAAAGAGGAAGCAGTGGAAATAATTATAAGAGCTGCAAAAATGAACAATGTAACTCTATCAGAGGAGACAATGATGCAGTTGAAGATGGAAGACAAGATCAAAACGACGGAGGAGAAGCAGAATTTGGAAGAAGATAAAGGCCTATGGATTCAAGTACTACATTCGCCTATCATTATGAAACGCCTTGCAATATGCTCCTGGTGGTGGATCACGTGCACTTTCGTCTTCTACGGGCTGGCAATCAACTCAGTATCACTTGCTGGTGATAAATACACCAACTACATGCTGGTGGTTAGCGTGGAGGTCATTTCAGTGGTCACTAACGCGCTGGTGCTGGACCGTATTGGAAGAAAGAAGACGCTGCTAGTCGCGTACACCATATGCGGGATTTCTTGCGTGGCTCTAACGTTTGTACCGAAATGTAAGTATTCTAGACTTATCCATTGAAGCTTATATGGAATATGCTAACATTTTCTATAACCATATAGGTTTCCTTTTATTGTGTGTCAATCAATCTAATCTATAGGTGCCGTTATATTGCCGTAGCTCGCGAGATCATTCGTACATCCGACGAAAATGATTGTGCGATCGTGCGTTCCAAGATACTCATATATGCGGAATGTACTATTGAAGGTCGTGCGATCATGCGATGCGACCGAATTGTCTCATTTTCGTCGTACGATTATCGACACATCGTATAGGTCCGATCAAACATACTAATCAGCACTGAATGCCCTAATGGCGCTCGCGCGATCAAGGGGCGAAGGCAAGGGAGGGGTTTTCGTAAAAAATTTCTTCGTTTTACCGTACGTCGTAATACTGATTGTGAAATTCGCCGCTTTGATTTCTGTTTTCATACAGTATATTATGTTGTGTACGTTTTTGTATTGTCTGCTATCTTCTCTAATCACTGTAGTGTAACACAGGCTCGGCACGCACTTAACTAAACACGTCCACTCTCGCCCGAGGCTCTCGTGTAACTGACGCGGTGCGCTCGAGACAGTGACTTATATATAAATGTATGTTTGTGTATTTGTGCATGGTAAATTATTAGTAAATAAAACAAATAACAATATTTACTGTGTACTATATATATGCAAACACTACAGTTTTCTTTTTTTTTAATGCTATTCACTATTAAAGAAATATTGCTCGACAGCAAAAACTGTGCATCTCTGTTAAAAGTAATTTCGAGAGTGATCGCAACGCTCCAAAATAGGACATACGATTTATAATCGTGTGATCGGATTCATTGGACGATGTAATCGCATCGCATCATCGCGCAAGCGATGGCAATAGTACGGCGCCGTGTAATTGATATAAGAAATCAGCACTAAAATTGAAAATATCAATGCAAAAAAATGGCATTGCTGGTGTACTTTTTTTTTAAGTACAATCTAATAATCTACGTGATGGCCAGTGGCTGCACATTGCTCAAGTTCACTGAAGCGTTTTCGAGCCTTCAACAAAATGTAAACACATTGCTTCTCTCACCCTCCAAACCGAAGTAGATAATTCTATTTTGTAGGGACTCACGGGGAGGGAATGCCAAAAGGCATTAAGTCTGCACATTGTAATATTTTTTATTAAGATGTACAATAGAGTATAAATAAATAAATAATAGAATAATACAATGCAGCACAATATATTTACGACAAAGAAAATATATAATAAAAATTGGCTGAAACGGATAAATGGTCACCGACTCAGCATAAGCAGCAGCAACATTATCCCAGCACTGTTATTCTGACGGTACCTTGGGCATGTAATGGCACACATAAATACATACTTAGGTAGCGCGAACTTTTGATAACATTATATATACGTGTTGTTTAGCACTGTGACGTGCGTGAAGTATGAAGAACTTTAAATTGAATAAAACTAGTTCTTACGAATTTTATCGCGTTTAATTAGCTCGTTTTTCTATTTTTAAATAAAACTAATTTTACGGATTTTATCGCGTATATTAACTTATGTTTATATTCGAAACGTCGGGTTCTCTATTGAAATTAATCTTCTCTATTGAAGATGGATGGGTGCTGCCATCTTCTTGGGATCCCATCATTAATAAAATCAAATCCAAACCCAAGTATACCACTGCTAGACTTCAAGATACTGTAAGCTCATTCTGCGTAAATCGAACCAAAAATTAATATTAAAAGACTGAAGGTAGCCGGGCTAACTATGACAGCAGGACGTCAAACACCTCAGTCCCCCGTGACCACGGGTGCTGGAAAGCACCCGAAACGTCGGGATTGCATAGTGTGCAAGTTGAAGTTGAAATTTAAAGTTTATAAAAGTAACAGTTTGTCTGTGTTCTTATGTGTAAGAGCGAACAGAAGTGCATCAATACCCTCAAATTTCGTCTTAATCTGTTCATTACAGCCCACAAAAGGCCACTGCAGAACATAGGCCTCTCTCATAGATTGCCGCATGGGAGCATTTTAGGATAGTCGCCACCATAGGAATATTAAAAAGACTTCTTTTGTTATAATATCTATGGTCGCCTCTCATGGCAAGCGGGTTGGCAACAGCAGGTTGTACCCGATTATGCCTTCAACGTATTATAAAGAGGGTTTGGTACCAATCACTTGATTGGTTTTTTTTTATATGAGGGTGACAACCGAGCACACAGTCCACATAATGGTAAGTGATTCCTGTGGCTCATAGACATCTACATCTATCCTCGATTACGAACCAAAATGCAGATGTGTTGTCACCCGTGAGGACTAAGATGGAATGCCTCGTTTCCAGTAAAAAGGGTATTCGGTTCTCTACACTCACCATACGAAATACAGCAGCGTTAAGCTGCTATTTTACGCTGGTATTTTGTGAGACGGTGGTCCTTCCCTGGTCGAACCGACCCATTTGTGCGTTGGGTATGTGGTGTTACAGCAAATAGTAACATAATAAATGTATAAATCTAAAACTTGACTGCTGAATTCTTTCCTATATTTTTTTATTTTCTTTATTTTCTTTTTACCTTTAATGGGGGTCCCAAATTATAGAGCAATACTTCAATTTACTCAGACATAGGCTACATACGTACTATTAAAATATTTTAATTTTATTATTTCAGCGATACCATGGTTGAAAACACTCCTGTACTTAATAGGCAAGATTGCAATCACGCAGGCGTTCAGTGGCATCTATATGTACACATCGGAACTTTTCCCGACGCATGCGCGCCACTCGCTGCTCGGCTGTTGCTCAATGGTCGGCCGTATTGGTTCCATCATCGCCCCACAGATGCCGCTACTGGTGAGCTATTGCTTCTCTGTCTTTATTTCTTTGGTAATGGACTCGTATCATCGTATGATTGTACTCCAGCCCGTATCAAGTAATAAGAAATTATCTTTTAATTCTTCGCAATCTGTTGATGCGTCACATTAGTTTTTGGGAGATATTGACAGCAGCTTGAACCAGTTTATGGTGATAGTATCTTAAACCAGACACATAATCTTGAGGTTTTTTATCACCATCGTAGCACTTGTTTCTCCATTACCACTAATAGTGTATATACGAAGACATTTAATACAAAAATCGTAACACTTACCACAAACCATTATAAATACAATAACACAGGAGCAGTAATCTGCCGACGGTCAAGTCACCGCCAAAACTCCTTATTACTTCACAAAACGTTGGTCCAGTTCTGCGGACATGAATAACTTAACCATTTATATTACCATTAGAGCGGGACGTCCTTGAACTAGTATGATTTAAAATAAAATACGAATTAATGGAACGTTTAGTGGACAAAAATGAAAATGAAAACTAAGTATAAACAGTCCGGTGGGATGGCTTTTTACCTGACTGCCCCTGAAGAAAGGTAATAGTTTTTCGGCAGTATGTCTATTTCTTTGTTACACTCTGTAGCCTAAAGGGTTTGTCAGAGGTGTCGTTAGATTTATTTTAATTGTCGAAGTGACATAGGCCATATTATATTTATATATAGAATCTGCAAATTCGAAAAAGGGAAGGTTTTTTCAGTAAACTTTTTAACGCAAACGGGATTTTTTTAATTAATGTTTTAACCATGATTGTTACATTTTTCAGAAGAAAAAATAAATTACTATCTAATAATCATTGGTTGTTAATTGTTGATAATTCATTTATTGTTAAACAATTAATAAAATATCACTTTATAATTTTTAGCTTAAAAACTTAATGGCATGTCTGAACAGCAAATTTTTTTCCAACTTTTAGACAAAACACGCCGGAAAAACTGGTGCGGTTACACAATGTTGGCACAGGTGGTTTGCATAGTATTATGCTGTTGTTCTTCAAAGTAGGACATTTTTTCGTGTTTTGAGGATAGCAGGACACATAGTTCAAAAATGGGACCGTTCCGATCAAAGCAGGATGATATGGTCACTTTAGGCATGATGCAAGAAAGTTTTCTTTCTTTAAAATAATTTTAATTTTAGTTTACGTGATAGAGCCATGCTGTAGCTATAATATGGTTGCAGCACGAATGGGTTGACTCGACCGCGAAAGGAACACGCTCTTACAGAATACCAGCGTAAAATAGCAGCTCAATGCTATGATTCGTATGGTGAGTGTAGAGAATCGACGAACCTTTTCACTAGAAACGAGGCATTCCATCTTATTCCTCAGGAGTGACAACGCATCATTTAGATTCTTAATCGATGATCTATGGGCCACATCTATTTACCATCAGGTGGATTTTGTAATCGCTAGTCATGTTTATTTCTAAAAAAAGGTAAAATTAAAAAAATGTCATTAATAACCAGTAAAATGATTATTTTCTTTCGCAGGCGATATACATAGATTGGTTACCGTCAGTACTTTTCGGTACAACAGCCCTAATCGCTGGTGGATTAATGCTGACTACACCAGAAACCCTCAACACACGGTTACCTGATACGATTAGCGAGGCTGAACACATAGCAGCGGCACCGCGGGTTTCACCCGTCTCCAACAGCGAAACGCATCACGGTGTCACAACCTCATAGGGTTACCAGATGGGAAATTGAGCACTCTTGGCAAACAACCTGATTTCTGTATGAAAATTCTGACATTTTGTTGTAAACATAACGAGCGTAAAAAAAACATGTGACAAAACAACACACTAACTAAACTTCGAGAGAATGAGACGAATGAAGGGTATCAGAAGTAGAGTTATTGTAGACTTTATGTCATTCAAATATAAATTAATAAATTTACAAGCAGTGTATACTGTAATCTATCTCATTCTATTGCAGGATAAAACCTATGGATATATATTATGTTTGTCTCTTTTTAGTGTCGTGTTTTCGTTTTATCGAGTATCAAATCACAACAGTTCTAAAAAATGACTTCAAGACTAATTAATTATTGGTTTTGTACACTTTAAATTCACATCGCAGTTTTCACTCCTCCCACCCAAACACGTACTTGTATTTAATTGAAAAATTGAAAACGCCTGACATTTCCAAATTTGATTAGAGTCCAAAAGTCCAAACACGTCAGGATAAATCCTGACCATTTGACCATTGATATGGTATCTCTACCATTTCACGTTGTCAAATATTTCTACCTACCAACCGAACAAGACTCGTGATAAAATTGACATATTCCTAGAACACGCGTAGAAACAGTGCAATAGACTCATAAAGTATTAACATCAAAAGGCTGGGTTGAATAAAATAGCGAGGCCACGAGCCACGGAATCCGACGTCCGAGTAAACTACAGTCAGTGCCAAAAATAATATTTTATGGGATCAAAGGTGCACTAAAGCCGATGTTTACATAATATTTAATCGAATTGTCTTAATCTTACTCAAACTGTGAATAAAAACGTGATATAGAAATATAAGTAATAAAAATATAATGAACTGTGTAGTGGCCTTGTAGATTATCCTCTACTATATATCGTCCCGTGGGTGTCGTATGAGGCGCCAGAGCGGTCAGATGGAGATGGGCAGCAATCACCTGTCAAGTGTGGCAACTAGGCAAAATCTTCCCTAGGTAATTTATGAGACAGGCCTAGGCTTTTGTTGTATAAGGATTATAATTGAATGTAATTTTTCACATTTAAACTTAGTAATTCTTTATTAGAAAAGTTAAATATTTATTAGATAAGATTGAAGTTTTTATTCCACAAAAAAAAATTGACTCACATATTCGCCACAAAATCTCCAAAACCATACGCCCGATTGACTTGAAATTTGACATGTTATGTTCTCCTTTCTCGACGTAGACATGTCACCCACTAAGAAATGATTTTGGAAAATTTAACCCCTGCAGTGTGAAATAGGGTAGATACACTTTTTGTATATATATATACAACAATTTAATATATGAAACGAAGCCTGAAAACCTGAAGCTGAAATCATACTCAACCTATTGTAGAACACGCACTCGCGTTCATATGATATGCATCTAAAATCATTTGCAACCAATAACATGGTATTAGGTGCATTAGTGTGCGTGCAGTAGTGAACATGTACGGGCTGATTAAGAAAGAAAGAAAAAGATTTTATGCGTGTCAAGAAATTGAACATGAAATAGAAATAGAAACTTTTTATTTAATATAGATAATAAATAATACTTATTGGAAATCACTCTAATGCTTAATTTACCATTGGTTCGAAAAACTCCTTCGTCATAGGAAGAACCAGCAAAAAACCATGGCCTCGATGCTTAGAGCATTATGCTCTAAGTTTTAGTGTCAATAAATGTGCGCAGCAATCCATCAATATTTTTTGATGTGAAACATCTATCGGCGCACTTTGGCCGGGAACACTTACTAGAGACAGGTAACTGTTTTATGGATTATGTAATAGATCAAACGAAGTTTACTCACTTAAATTTGATAGCGTTTGATTATTCCTTACTTTGATTACTTGAATCATATAACAATATTGATTATATTAAAAATCGTAAAGACGTTAGGTCCAACCTTTACAACCCTTAGTTGAAGGTGCTTGTAATTACCTAAAAAATAAATGTATCATTGAAGTTGTACTTCATTTATTTAGGTTCAGTCTTATATATCGTATATCAAATAGTAGTGCTTGAACTACTGTGTTTCCGCTCTGAGTTGTGTTTCCGCTCTGAGTTGTGTTTCCGCTCCGATATACAACATATAGATAGACAAGCTGTGAGACATACCATCTTAGTAATCGGAGGTGACAACGCATTTGTAGTATTCTTTGTTTGAAGTTGCCTGTATGTGTCCATGGACTGCAGACTGCAGTAGCCAATTTTCATCAAGTAGAGGAATAAACAGTTCTTATCATCAGGACAGTTTTCAATTCCGTTTTATAAAAAAATAATAAGAAGACAGTTAAAAATATTTAAGTTATCGTATACTAAAATCAAGTACCTTTTAAAATAATTGCTTTACAAATTTCTAAACAGAGGAATCCGTTAAAACACAGCTGGGCATTCCTTTAGGTGCTATATTAGGGACCAAATTGTAAAGTCTATATGGAAAAAAATATTTTAAGTATATTTATGAAGAAAATATTATAATAACATAAGTATGTACGCAATAATTTACTATATATATTTAGTTTATTTGACAATGTTTAATTCAATATTTTTATTTAAACTAAATTTGATAAATTTGTTATCCATCTGCATTTGATTTAAATGGATATATAAAACGTAACAAAAACCCTGTGGTTCCCTTTAAATGCCTTATCAGAATCAATATGAAAACGTATAAAAATAACATCAAAACAAAAATAAATATCAAATTAAATACATTTTTTATTTGCAAATTGTGTGTAGGCTTATTACCTCTGCATTGGTTACGGAGTAAGACGGTAAGTGTATTGTCATAGACTCTGCTTTACCAATGCGCGTGTCCGTCCAGATATAAATAAACAAAATTCAAATGGTTTAATTTATTTTGTCACGTATTATGAACTAAATCGATATAATAACGATGAAGAAAATTTTCACTGTCATATATCATGCCTATATGTACATCTATGCGCCCTTAAAAGGGCCACTGGGTTATTTGTTACATACTGTATATATAAATTTCGTAAAATAGCTTGTAAGATGTGATTTACTATTTATAAATAAAACGTTAAACCACCTGAGTTTGTATAACTTTATTTCCCTGCAATATGTATGAACATTTTTTTTTACTAATGAAATGGAATGGAAAAACTATGGAATAGTTATTGTAAATGTAAAAATAAATTTTTAGGAAAGTCTATTCTAAACTTTGTTAAATGATTTCTTTATGTATTATTTAATTGGGACTAAAGTTCGCCATGGTATTTATTTTAGTAATTTTACAGTGAAATTATAGTCCAATTGCTTGCTGTATGAGGAAGCTTAAAGCTCTTAGCGGCTACTGTTGTGAGAAGGCTATGTTTCTTTTTTCTTCTTTTTTAGGGTTCCGTACTTCAAAAGGAAAAAACGGAACCCTTATAGGATCACTTTGTTGTCCGTCTGTCTGTCTGTCTGTCAAGACCCTTTTTCTCAGGAACGCGTGGAGGTATAAAGCTTAAATTTATATCAAATACTCAAGTCTACTGTCCCTTAGAGCTGTGAAAAAAACAAACTTCTAAGCCAACGCAATCAAAAGATACAGCCGTTTATGCCGTAAATTTTCGACATTCGCAAGGGAATCAAAACCTTGAAATTTGGTACGAAGCAACGTTTTATAGCACAGATAAAGGAAAAATTGCGAAAAGCATAAATTTTTAGTTACATCATATAATAAAAATATTTTTAATAATTTTAAACTTATATACCTACAGATTTGTTCGGAACCCTCGGTGCGCGAGTTCGACTCGCACTTTGCCGGTTTTTTATAGGTTATTTTGTTATTTTTTGTCAGTCTTAACAAATGAGCACACAGTCCATGATGGTAAGTGGATGCTGCGGCCCATAGACATCTATTCTCCATTACAAATCAAAATGCAGATGCGTTGCCACCCGTGAGAACTAAGATGAAATGCCTCATTTCCAGTAAAAAGTGTCTCCGGTTCTCTACACTCACCATACGAAACACAGCAGCGTTAAGTTGCTATTTTAGGTTGGTATTCTGTGAGAGCGTGGTCCTTCCCCAGTCGAGCCGACCTATTCGTGCTACAACTATACTACTAATATAGCTGCAGCATGGCTCTACCATGTAATAAACTTAAGTCTATCACACGCCTACACATCGTACCGATAGGTATAGAGTAAGGCGACCCCCAACTAGATGGAGTGACGATGAATGCAGGTGGCTCGGGATCGTACTTTGTAGCATTCTTTGGGGGAGGCATATGTTCAGCAGTGGAATTGTGAAGGGCTGCAATGATGATGATAAACGTAAGTAGCTATTGCAGCCCATGGACAAACGCAACCAACTTCAAACATACAAGAATGCGTTATCACATCTGAGGACTTTTTATTTTATTAATATTATTTTATTTTTTTTAAAACGTTACCCCCACAATACTAGGATTTTCTCCTGTTTCGTGGAGGCAGTTTACAAACATAAATTACACGAGGACGAACATGCAGACCCGGAACAATTATTTGTAGGCCATACAAATGCTTGTTCCGTGCGGGATTCGAAACCGCGGCACCCAGCGCAACATGATATATATATATATAAAATTAATGTTTCTTCGTTCGTCCCATAAGCGTTCCTATGTTACTAACCCTATTACGATGAAACTAAGGTGAATTTAAGTTCGTGCGCCATAGAGTACACATAGCTTGCTATGCATACTAAGCATAGTTTTTCTTGTGTGTACTCTAAGAAACGCGGCTTTGGGAATTTTTCCGGCAATAATTTAAAATTAAAAATTTTGTACAACCTGCTTCAATATAAATTATTAAGAATAACTTAAAAATTATTGGTCAGACCTTGATCAAATCTATATGGGACCACGTGTGGAGCACCAGCTTTCAAATAAAAATCGTCGAAATCGGTTCAACCAGTAAAAAGTTATGAGGTAACACACACATAAAAAAAATATACAGTCGAATTGAGTACCATCTCCTTTTTAAAGTCGGTAGAAAACTATTGCAAATTCAGGTAACATACGTATGTATAGACTCTAACGCAGTAAAGCGTCAATTTCTAAAATATAAATGTTATTTTTAAAAGATAGCACGTTTCTAACGACTTCATGATAACAAGCATTAAAGATCACGATCGTCGAAAGAAATATAGTGTTTAGTAGTGTTATATAGTTTAAATGACTTAAAAATAGGAAAACGGTTTTTAATCTAACGATTTGTTATTTTTAATATATGTAACACGATGTGTTTGACGTTACTCTTTTTTATCGTAACATTTTTTTACAGTTCTGTATTGTATAGGCTGTCGTGGCTTGTTATACTTCATATGAATAGTTGGTTATTGCTACTTATTAAAAGTATTTCAAAAGAGTTAACTTTGTTTGAATGTAAAAATTGAAATGGTAATTTTGAAAAAAAAAAAAACATATCAACTATATAATATATTTTGACAAGCTCATTCTTTTTTCTTTTTAAACAAAACGTTACCTCACACTAGACTTTTTTCTTGTATCGTAGAAACAGTTTACGAACATACATTGCACAAGGATAAACATCCAGACCCGGAACAATTACTTGCAGGCCATACAAATATTTGATCCGTGCGGGATTCTAACCCGCGACCCCCAGCGCTGCAACTCATTGCTAAGCCAATGCACCACTGCGCTACTGCGCCGTCAAATTTTACAAATACCTTATTAAGCAGCAACGTCCTTTTTCATTTTTAAGCATAATTTATTGACCCTATCGACCTTCGTCCTGCGAATAGTTTTATCTACATCATGTGCAAAAATACTGAAACAAAATATTTTTTTTGTGGCTAAACTACTTCTGTATTTAATTAACTTTCTGCGAACGATTATAAACGCTGTATAGAGTTTGGCGTATTATTTTTATATATCGAGTCCGACGGCAATCCGTATACAATTTCATTAGACTTTCTTATATAATCCAATTGTTGCACGTACATTAAATAATTCACAATGTTTTCTAACGTTGAAATTTTTCAGAAACAGAAATTAATTTTACTTGAACTGAACTGAACTATCAATTAATAGTACTAAACGTTTTAACTGTAGTTAATAACCGTTAAGTAGCTCCATAACTTAAGTATTTATAATGATCTAGTTGGAATAGAACCTACGGCTTATAGAATACGCTGGTCACTAAGTTTTACCTCATACTAGGTATTTCATTCATAAATTGAAACATCCAGACACAGAGCAGTTATTTGTGGCAACAGAAATACTTATTTATTGCGAAATTCGAACCCGCGGCCCGAAAAACAACAGATAAAGCTTAATCACTGCACCTTCAAAGTATGAACGTGGCAGTCGTCTAATTGTTATTTATATTTACTTTTTAAAAATTGCGTATGAATAAAAGAAAAATATGAGTGTAGAACGAGAAAAATATTAAAAGGAGTGACGAACTAGTATGACATACTAATGTACATAATATATAGATATAGTAATGTAATGTATGTACATAAAAATATGAAAGCTTTGATAAGAATAAAGATGTTCATAATTTAAAACTAGGATCAATCACAAGCTAGTAATGCCAGTTACTAGACTCCACAGAACTAGTAATTATTGTATGTGGCAATGAATAAAAGTAAGTAAAGTTGCAGCCTATATACTCGTCCCGTAGCTGGGCACAGGCATCCTCTCATCTCTGAGAGGGTTTTGGGGCAAGGAAATGTCCGCAGCGCTGCCCCAATGCGTGTTGGCGAACTTCACATGTCTTCGAAATATTTTTTTTCTTATTTCTCAGACATAAATCAGCATTTTAAATTGCAATTAACAATTTCATTGGTGACGGCGGGGATCGAAGCCGGGTTGCTCGAGTACTGTGAAGCTTACAGCGAGCGCTAACCATCTGAGCTACCACGGCTCTAAAGCAATGGATGCACTATTACAATTATTATTTTTTATGTGGTAGTGCCATGCTGCAGCTATATTAGTAGTATAATGAAGTCGGCCGAATATGTCGGCTCGACCGGGGAAGGACCACGCTGTTATAGAATATCAGCTTAAAATAGTAGTTTATCGCTGCTGTTTCGTATAGTGCACTCACTAGAGAACCGGAGATCCCTTTTACTGGAAACGAGGCATTCCATCTTAGTACTCACGGGTGAAAACGCATCTGTATTTTGATTCTTTATTAAATATAGATGAAGATGTCACAGCAACCACTTACCATCAGGTGGACTGTGTGGTTGTTTGTCATCTTATCCTATAAAAAAAAATTAAAAAATCCAAACGACGCCACATTAATAGTTCCGTTGTTTATATAGTAGAATAGAATCATTTTTATTCAGTATAGATGAGGAGAATACTTATTGAAAGACATTTATAAATAACCTAGATAGTAAATCAAACATTCGATTAAATTTATAAACACACACACGCACACAAGTTCCAAATCGGTTTGGTCACTGCGCAAGAGTTTACGTGCCGCCCGCCTTCCTGAATGTGGGTCGCGCAATGCTTTGGTTATGCGGTTGATAGCCACCGAAATAATACCGGCTCTGATTTGTGCGGAAATTACTGAATGCCTGCTGAATATTGGAACTGGAATGCTAATAATATTTAATATATTAATTGGAACTAATTTATACGGATTTTATCGCGTTTAATTTAACTTTTTAATTCCCGAAGTTTCGAGTGCTTTACAGCACCCATGGTCACGGGGGTGTGAGGTGTTTGACGTCCCGATGTCAGAGTTAGCCTTCAGTTTTTGAATATTAATTTTTGGTCCGATCTACGCAGAATGAGCTTATAATATCTTGAAGTCTTGCAGTGGTGTGCTTGGGTTTGGATTAAATTTTATTAATTATAGGATCCCAAGCAGATGGCAGCACCCATCCATCTTCTCTATTGAAATTAGGATGTTTTTTTAATTGCAATAACCTCGCGAATCATCCTTGGGAGGAATCGGTGTTCTTTTGCGAGGATTTGTGGTCTATCAAATCTAATGTAATGGTTGGGACGATCTTGAACATGTTCACACACTGCAGACTTCCCGGAACGTCGGTGCTTTAAGTCAGCTATATGTTCTTTCACGCGTG